GCTACTTTATATATAAATCGCTACTTTAGATGCAACATTTTGTTAAGTAATTAAATTTGTATGGCCTTACCATGAGACTACTGTATACATAAATTTGATTTACATAGTGCATCGAACACCCCAACTATTCGTTAAGAATAGTTAGTGTAACAACCATAGTTTCCGATAACGTTTGTAGGCTGAAGCTAGGCTGAAGCTGTATCTGAATAATTTAGGATACTGTACTGCTGTATACGTACTACGTACGTACGTACATAAATAAAAAAAAAAAGTAGCAAATTGTAATAAGTATCCATTTTATTTATTTTTTGATCGAAAATGACAAGCGAAAATTTAACTGGATTGATCGATGGTTTCAGCAAATTAAATTTTTCTGATTATCAAAAATCAGCAGATATGAATGATCCAGACGGAATTTACAAGCTCGGTTATTGTTACGAGTATGGAATTGGAGTTGAAAAGGATGAAAACGCGGCATTTACGCATTATCAAAAATCGGCAAATATGAATAATTCTAATGGAATGTATCAAGTTGGTTATTGTTATAATTTAGGAATTGGAGTTGAAATCGATAAGCATAAAGCGTTTTCGTATTATCTGAAGTCTGCTGATGCTGGTAATTCCGATGGAATTCGGAAAACTGCCATTTGTTATTGTTATGGAATTGGCGTGGAGAAGGATGCAAGTAGATATCTGAATTGGATTACGAAGCAAGTTAATTTTTACTTTTTTTTTATTGTAATAATTTGTAATTCCTTATTTGAAATTGAATTCTCTTATACAATTTTTAATTATTAGAGAGTAAGTAAAGTACATTCATCAATCCAAAATCGGCGATTTAAGTTCATAAATATTTATTTATTGTTGGTTATTTTAGCCCGTGAGTATAAAAGAATTTAACAATTTAATAATTTTAGAATAAAATCAAGTTTACAAAACAAGACAATAAATACTTATTTACCATTATGTTTTAATTCATTTCATTCGCATTAATTTAGTCGGTGAGTATAAAGAACATTTATTAATAAATGGAAATAAAAACAAAAAAAAGCAAGTTCACAAAACAAGATCATAAATACTTATTCACCATTCATTACGTTTAAATTCATTTCATTCGCGTTAATTTAGTCAGTGAGTATAAAGAACATTTATTAATCAATGGAATTAAAAACAGTAAAACTAGTTCACAAAACAAGTTCATAAACACTTATTTACCACTTCATTTCATCCGCATTAATCATTTAATTCAGCATGTGAGTATAAAGAACATTTATTAATCAATGGAATTAAAAACAGCAAAACAAGTTCGCAAATAAAGGACATAAATACTTATTTACGTTTAAATTCATTTCATTTACATTAATTTAGTGGGTGAGTATAAAGAACATTTACTAATCAATGGAATTAAAAACAGCAAAACAAGTTCACAAACAAGAACATAAATCCTTATTTACCATTACAATTCATCCGGATTAATTTAGTTTGTGAGTATAAAGAACATTTATTAATCAATGGAAATAAAAACAGCAAAACAAGATCATAAATACTTATTTACCATTATTTCGTTTGCATTAATCATTTTATTTAGTGAGTGAGTATAAAGAACATTTATTAATCAATGGAATTAAAAACAGCAAAGCAAGTTCACAAAACAAGATCATAAATGCTTATTTACAATTACGTTTAAATTCATTTCATTTACATTAATTTAGTGAGTGAGTATAAAGAACATTTACTAATCAATGGAATTAAAAGCAGCAAAGCAAGTTCACAAAACAAGATCATAAATACTTATTTACCATTACATTTAAATTCATTTCATTCGCGTTAATTTAGTTAGTGAGTATAAAGAACATTTATTAATCAATGGAATTAAAAACAGCAAACCATTTTCGCAAATCAAGGACATAAATACTTATTTACAATTACGTTTAAAATTCATTTCATTTCATTAATTTAGTGGGTGAGTATAAAGAACATTTACTAATCAATGGAATTAAAAAACAGCAAAACAAGTTCACAAACAAGAACATAAATCCTTATTTACCATTATGATTCATCCGTATTAGTCAGTGAGTATAAAGAACATTTATTAATCAATGGAAATAAAAACAGCAAACCAAAATCACAAAACAAGATCATAAATACTTATTTACCATTATGTTTAAATTCATTTCGTTTGCATTAATCATTTTATTCAGTGAGTGAGTATAAAGAACATTTATTAATTAATGGAATTAAAAACAGCAAAGCAAGTTCACAAAACAAGATCATAAAACTTATTTACCATTATGTTAAAATTCATTTTATTCGCATTTATCATTTATTCAGAGTGTGAGTATAAAGAACATTTATTAATCAATGGAATTAAAAACAGCAAAACAAGTTCACAAACAAGATCATAAATAATTATTTACTATTACGTTTAAATTCATTTCATTATATTCGTATTCATTTAGTTAGTGAGTATAAAGAACATTTATTAATCGATGGAATTAAAAACAGCAAAACAAGTTCACAAACAAGATCATAAATACTTATTTACCATTACGTTTAAATTCATTTTGTTCTTATTAATAACCTCACTCAGCATGTGAGTATAAAGAACATTTATAATCAATGGAAATAAAAACAGCAAAATAAGATCATAAATACTTATTTACCATTACATTTAAATTCATTTCATTTCATTCGCATTAATTTAGTCGGTGAGTAAAAGAACATTTATTAATCAATGGAAATAAAAACAGCAAAACAAGTTCACAAAGCAAGGTCATAAATACTTATTTACCATTACGTTTAAATTCATTTCATTATATTCGTATTCATTTAGTTAGTGAGTATAAAGAGCATTTATTAATTGATGAAATTAAAAACAGCAAAACAAAATCATAAATACTTATTTCCTATTACGTTTAAATTCATTTCATTTGCATTAATTTAGTCAGTGAGTATAAAGATATTTATTAATCAATGGGATTAAAAACAGCAAGATCATAATACCTATTAAATTCAAATTTCATTTTATTCGTATTAATTTAGTTAGTGAGTATAAAAAACATTTGTTAATCAATGGAAATAAAAACAGCAAAACAAGTTCACAAAACAAGATCATAAATACTTATTTAACATTACATTTAAATTCATTTCATTTAGTTTGTGAGTATAAAAAACTTTTAATAATCAATTTAAATAAAAACTGCAAAAAAGTTCACAAAACAAGAACATAAATACTTATTTAGCATTACGTTTAAATTCATTTCATTTAGTTTGTAAGTATAAAGAACATTTATTAATCAATGGAATTAAAAAACAGCAAAACAAGTTCACAAAACAACTTATTTACAATTACGTTTAAATTCATTTCATTCGCATTAATTATTTTATTCAGCCCGTGAGTATAAAGAACATTTATTAATCAATTGAATTAAAAACAGCAAACAAGTTCACAAATCATGGACATAAATACTTTATTTACTATTAATTAATCTAGTCGGTAAGTATAAATTATTTATTTGCATTCAACATAAAGTTAAAATTGCGGATGCGAAATAAAACATTAAATATTTATTATATAGAGAACCTGAATATGGAAAATGTGAACATTGTAATGAAAATAACACTAATAAAGCATGGTGTCTATCATGCGACCCTGATATGACAACAAGATGGACAAGTGGAAATAAAGATATTGATGATTGCATCCAACTTCGAGCCTGGAGTTATGAAAATGCGATTGAATGGATTCCATTTGATAAATTATCTGATATTAAAAAAATCGGTAAAGGAAGACTTGGTTCTGTATATTTAGCAACATGGTTAGATGGCATGCGAAAAGTTGATGATGACAACGATTCCTACAAAAGATCGCGTGAATCAAATTGCATCGTTGCACTCAAGGCATTGGTCAGTTCTAAGGAAAATAATGATTATTTAAAAGAAGTAAGCTAATTTATTGCTTTGATAATTTGTCCAATAGTTTATTGAACTAATTCATTACTTAACTTTAAGGTCTTATGGAATGCAAATTAAAGTATTGTAATCTCACAATATATGGAATAACCCAAAACACAGAAACAAATGAATATTTGATGATATTTCAGTATGCTGATAATGAAATTGGAGTTGAAATCGAAAAGCATAAAGCGTTTACATATTTTCTGAAGTCTGCTGAAAAGGGAAATTCTAATGGAATGTATCAAATCGGTAATTGTTATCTCCATGGAATAGGAATTGAAGTTGATGTACACCAGGCATTTATTTGGTATAAAAAGTCGGCAGAAAAGGGAAGCTCTTGTGGAGCATTCATGCTTGGTTATTGTTATGAATATGGAATTGGAGTAGAAAAGGATGAAAACAAAGCATTCACGCATTATCAAAAATCGACAGAAATGAAAAATTCTAACGGAATGTATCAAGTTGGTTATTGTTATTATTTAGGAATTGGAGTTGAAATCGATAAGCATAAAGCGTTTTCGTACTATCTTAAGTCTGCTAAGGCTGGTATTTCCGATGGAGTTCGGAAAACTGCCATTTGTTACTATTATGGAATTGGCGTGGAGAAGGATACAAATAAATTTCAGAATGGATTAAAAAGTAAGTCAATTTTTATTTATTTTTATTGTAATAATTTGTAATTTCTATTTGAAATTAAGATCTCTCATGCAATTTTTAATTACGTATTAGGGAGTAAGTAAAGTGATAAGCAATATTTTAAACCGAATTCAAAGAGGAGATCATAATCTATCGTATAGATTCAGAACTGAACTACTTACATTTCAGATAGAAAAAGACTTGATAGAATCATACTCTTTAAGTAACCTCAAAGAAGAAATCAATTAAAAGATTAGGAAATATAAAGAAAAATATCACTCCAAACAATTACAGAAACTAGAAATTAAAAACACTGAAAATCAAAAAGAAATCAAAGAAAGTAGAAAAAGGCATAAGAAGTAAATGCAAAAACAAGAACTAGAACCAGGAGAACCCTTATGAAACCTTTATAAAAGACTTATTAAAAGAATAGACCAACTTATAGCTAATGACGAACCAAATTTATTTGAAGAAGAAGCAGAATATTTTATAACAATAATTGAAAAGTTCGAACAAAAATCAGACAAACTAACATTTCTTGAAGAAAAAGAAAGACTTATTCAAAAAATAAAGAAATTCAGAAGAACCTTCCTATCAACATATAGTGACTTTCAAGACAGACTGTATAAGAAACTCAAATAAAAAAGAAAATGAATAATCAAAATGAATCTAATGGATGGACCCAACAAGGACCTATCTATTGCAAAAAATGTGACTCCCATGTTGAAAAGCCTGAAGAACATGACTGCAAAACAATACTTTAAAAATTAACAACAGCATTTAAAGACTATGAAAATAAAAAAGAATTTGAAAAAAGACTTGACGAAATAAGAAAAAACCAAAGAATTAAAAATCAATTTATCTATAGAATTTGCAAAGAAAAAGGACATACGAATAGATATTGTCCAGTTCATGACTGCTACCAATGTGGTAGTAAAGGATATCAGTCATAAGACTATCCTACGAAAACCAAACCAAATTACCAAAATCAGAATCAACAATGGAATGATAATCAACTAGAACCATCAAGATGAGTATTTGTATGTAAATTCTGTAGAAAAATCACAAAAATTAAAACTGCAAAACCCATAGACTTTTAAAAAAAAATGTGAATTTATTTTGCAAATGCAATGCCAAAAACAATTTATTAAAAAGAAGAGAGCATACAGAATAGGCTTCATATTCAACAAACCAAGACAAAAATTATTGCTGCTATTGCAAAAGACCAACCCTATCACAAAACCTCTATCCTATCAAAGAATTATATACTGACCCCTTTTTACATGGACCACTGTTTTTACAAGAATAGCTAGTTTGCAAAGGATGTTATAGTGAATTTTATGAAAACTTAAACTTAAGAGACCAATAAGCCCAAGACTACTATAAAGGACTGGGATAAGGAAAATTAACTAACTGCCGACTTTGCCAAAAACAACTTTTGAAAAGAAAAGCTGAAAGTTGGAATTCAATGTTCTTTTGTACCAAAAAACAAAAATTTACTTATAATATATATTACTCCAAAGAAATATTAGAAGATGACAAACATAAAAAAGACATCCAAAGACTAACAAGGAATCAGATGAATATACACTGGGAATTAAATAAGTTAGTAATTTTTAGACTTATTAAATACATTAATGACAACCCTGACGAAAGCTTTGGAATTACAGAAATCTGAATATCATACAATTACAATACACTCAAGAGACCGATATCATGAATTACTATAAGCTTTTTAATTAGGATTAACAACTCAATTATGAAGAAGATAATGATGATCTTGAATCATTAGAATCATTAATTTTTACCAGAAGAGAAGCAAACTAAAAGCAAGAAGCTATAAGAGGGGAGTTATTTGAAATAAGTGATAAAGAAAATAATAATAAAATAAGAGAAGAAAACCAAATCTGACAAGCATTAGAAGTCTCACTGCAAGAAACATATAGCAACCATAAAGGAAAAAGAAAACAAGACTTTGAAGAAGGTTTACGAAAAAATCACATTGATCTCTGTAAGGGATGTTTAATGCTAATTAGTTGAAAAGAAGAAGAAGACAAAGACTTTAAAAAAAAAGACTATTGTAACCAATGCTTTGAAAAAATAGAATCAAAAATAATTATTATAAATGAAGAAAAACCTGAAGAAAATAGTAGACTTGCTATTGAAGATGACCAATTTCTTTACGAACTCCAAAATATTATGGAATTTGATGAAGAAATACCACAAGATCAGTATCAAGAACAAATAAATCAGAATACCCAAGACCTACAGGAACTGTCTCAGATAATTCTAAAATTTCAACTAAAAAATGAAGAAACTACAATAAGAGTCCAAACCCTTGAAAAACTTACCCTAAAACTGACCACCAGAATCAACCAATTGGAACTAAGACTAAAAGACCTTGAAAATCAGAATATGATACTAAAAAGAAGACTCGACTACCTTGAAGAAAAATCTATAAAAATTGTAAAATTTAGTACTAGTACTCAGACAGAAATTTATTAATTTAACCAAAAATAGTTTATCTTTTTAGCCAACTAATAACAATATCTTTAAAATACTATTATTATTTTATTATTATATTATCTTGTATAAATAATTATATCTTATCAATAATATTTATTACGGCTGAAATGCCAAAGAAAAACAAAAATAACTCACAAGTAACAATATAATATAAACAAAGTAAACAATAGAGATAAAGAACAATTATAAAAAGACTTGAAAACTGACTTAATCAAACTCTGTGCCAAGGTATACCCAAAAACAAAGATTAAAAGAATAATACTCTACATGCAAATATTGTAAAACACATAAACTACCTTGCGATCAAAAGATACCATGCACAATTTATAAAAGTATAAACAAAATTTGTAAAAGAATGTATAAACTCAAAGACCTTGATAAAGTTAACAAAAAGATACTAGCTAGACCTCTAGTCAACTCTGACAAAAATATTCAAGAAAAAACAAATTATAAAAGACTTATTAAAGAATCAAGGAATACTATTAAAAGAAACACCTGATACTTCAGACAGTGAATGAAAAGGAAAGAGAAACAAGCAATACAAGCCTGTGACTATTGCCAAGAAAAGAAAGTAAGATATAAATATAATGCACAAATTCAAATGAGTACTCAGTGTAATTTATATGAACAACCATGTATAAACACAAAGAAATACTTCTCAAGGGGACCCAGTTCTAAAAGATTTAAGTGGATAATACACAAAACAATATCCAAAAACTTGAATAACCACAAGAAGACAAATTAGACAATTGCTACCTCCTTAAATACAAGAAACAAAAGTAATCATATTTTTACAAAATGTATTAGAAATTGTGCAACAAACTAGGGAACTAGTAGAACAAGATTTAATTGCACATCAACCACAAGAAATGCTGCTATGTATATTAACCTACAACATAATATTTTAATTCAACAAGCAACAATCAATAGAATTAATAACCATAATTTAGTATATACAATTATAGAAGAAATATCACAATTAAAAGATTGTAGAATGACACCAGAATTTGTATACTCACAAATTAACTGAAGAATCATAGGATTGCAAAGACTACCGATAACAATAAGACAAAGAGTGAATACCAAAGACTAAAAAATATTGGAAAGAAAAAATACAAGGACTACTAGAAGAATACAAAAATCTAATACTTCTAAAAGAGTTAAACATTGAATCAACACACAAACAAACATATTTGAAAACAGCTCTTATCACACTATTAGTAAACCAAGAAATATTTGAAGACGAAATAAAAGAAATAACCTTGAAATTTATAGACAAAGAAATACTTGAATACATTGAAGAACTATTAAAACAATTATAACAACCTGGAACAATTAATTGAACTATCTTCACTACCATTAATAAACACAACTCTTTTGTGGATAAACCACTTTGCTATAACAGCTATAGCATATGACAGAGCATCAATACATTTCATACTACTATTAAAGGACGTAGCATTAGTAATAGGGGTGTGCTATATAGTAAACAAAATATCAGAATTAATAATTTAATATGTATCGATAAAACAACCAGAAAATCTACTTAAAATAGAATTTAATAATTACAGAGAATTGTAATCGATATAACCAAGCAACTCAAGTGTTTAGAGATTATCTTGAAGATTTACAAAGAATACTCTATTTAGAATTATTATTAGAATTAACATATCAACAAATAATTAAGCAAATCCAAGACTTAAACAATAAATATTCCTATGCACAACTAACAGAAAGAACAGACAAAAACTATTATCTACTATCAATACTAGACGAAATTAACAGAACAACACTCTTAATATCAAGAACAACCAATTCAAAAGAAATATTTGATAAAAACCAAAATTAAATACCAGAAGAACAAAAAGAAGCTGAAGAATAAATATACTTAGAAGCTCTAAAAGAAATTAAAAGCAATCTAGAAAAAATAACTAACAAAGATCTTAAACAAAGACTCGAAGCATTACAAGAAAACAATATTTTAAATATTAATAGCTTTCTAATAATATATCAAGAGAACAGAATCAAAAATATACAAGAAATAGATAATGAAATTAAAAGATTTGAATGACATTCACTTAAAAGAAAAGAATATCTAAAAGAACTTAATAAACAATAATACAAACACATATCGATGATTAGAAAGAATAATACAACAAAGAAAATTTAAATTTATTTGGAATCTCTTATATAGAAATCAAATTTTAACCTAGTAAAAGAAATACTTGACCAAAGGACTAAAGAACAAATAATTAACAATATAATTGAAACTATTGAAAGACTTCAAAGAAGAATTCTACCAACAAACAATAATCAGATAGAAATAATCTTAATACTATTGCAAGCCATAAAACAACTATCAACATCGATAAATATAACTGAAGGAATTATATTCAACTACAAATCAACCTTAGTACAAAAGTGATACTTAAACAAACTAAATATTGTACAATCACAACTAGGAACTGTACTTGCTGAAATTCAAGAAAAAATACAAGACCTAATAGCCCAAAGAGAAGTTTATTTAATACCAGATGAATTGAAATCAATCACAACTCACATAATTAATACTATTAGAAATTTTTACTCCCTAGAAGGAGCAACTTACTTTTTCGAATATGATGAAGAAATACAAGCCTGATTATTAGAAAAAGGAGTCAAACAGTTTAAAAGAAATAAAAAAGCAAAAGAATTAATAAATAAAAGAACCAAAGAGTTACTTCATAAATTACAATGATTAAATGGCAAAGTGGAAAAAAATTAACAGAGAGAAATATTTTGATCTATACTACAAACTAACAAAATACAAACAAAAAGAATATTACGAATTAACTGAAGAAGAAACAAGAAACTAATTAAGAGCAATCTATAAAGATATAGAAGAAGAATTCTACGAAGAAATATTACAAGAAGAAGCAAAAGAAATAGAACATACATTAAGCTCACTATTCCTAAAAAGAAAAGAAACAAGTTTCATCTTCTTTCTAAAAAATACTCTAAGAAAACGTGACTATTTAATTAATAACTTCATATCGGAGTTCAAAGACATAAACTTCCCAGAATACTCTTTTGAATACACAAAAGAACAAAATACAGAAAATCAAAGACAACTTTTCCAAAGCAAGTTAACTACACAAATAGAACAAATTTACCAAATTATAATAGGATTTTCAATAGAAAGAACATTTAATAAAAATACAGTTGAAAAAATAAAAGAAGAACATAAAAAATATTAGAAAACTAAATAACTTATTAGAAATATCTAAACCCAGAATTGTTATTTGAAGAATACTACTTTTTTAATAGTAAACCATATGGAGAAGGACAATAAGTAGTACCCAAAAAATTAACAACCAACCAATCTCTAAAACTGTTAAGACTATTAATACATGACTTGGAATTAGAACTCGAAAAAGTAATCCTCAGAAGTATAGTTCTAGAACAAAAAACTTTGACAATATATAATTGCTACTATAACAATGACTACCTTTGGATAGCAACAAAAATAAAAGATATTCAAAGAACAATTGATTGGCAATATGATCAGAACACAAGTGTATGTACAGGAGAACCCTTTGAAGAATTCAAAAGACAGTGCAAACAAGAAAGCTATAAATGATATCTTGAAGAAATTTATAAAAAGAGAACAGGAATAAGTATAAGTAGAAAATACTGAAAATCAGAAGAACAAATCTGGGAGAAATTTAAAAATTATCATGCAAAGATTTGGGAATAAGAATGCAATTACTGGAGAACTATTGAATCCAGAATTAAACCAATGCGAGGAAAAATTGAACCAGAAAGACCAACCACAAAATGACTTAGAAATATACTCGCATCCGGAACTATTAGTGTATTTCAATAGACAAGTAGTTTTGCATGACCCATATCAACTACCAAACAGAATAATGACTCAAGCAATAGGATTTACAATAATAGAAAAAGAGACATATATTTTATTAGCCAAATGAATTAACCCAAATAAAAGCTTTTACCAAACATTCAATGGAATGGGAGGAAAAGAAAAATTGGACCAAAATGGAATGCCAAAAGAAATTATAGAAGTAATGGCCTTAAGAGAAATATTTGAAGAATCTGAATTAGTAATAAAAAATAGTAATTTAATAAAAATCCAAGAAAATTCATATTATTCAACAGATGAATGGATTGCAACAGGCTGCAAACCAGAACAGGCAAAATACTTTATAACATTAGGACTATTTATTTTCTGACTAAATGATGAAGAAATGCCCAAAACTACTGAACCAGAAACCCTAGGACCATGGAAACTTTATTCCTTAAAACAAATAGAAGAACAACAAATACCCCTTGTACCAATGATACTACACAACCTTTTATACATATTTAAAAGAATTGCAGATTACCCCATATTAGAATATGTAAACCGAAATAAAACTGCACATCAACATAGGATAATAAATCCAAAGAAAACGTTTACTAAACTATTTGAGGGAATAGACTCTGACTCTGAAGAAGAAGAATTAACACCATTAATAATAGAAGAATTTGAAGAAATAATGATGAATAAAGAAATAATAACTGCAAAACAAATCAAAAGAGGACGTCTATTCAAAACCCTAATCCAAAAACAAATAGCACCATTAAAACAAATAGAAAAACAACTCATGAATTTTGACCATCTTTATATGGGATATAAATATTTAACTATCTTTGACAAAAATGACAGAACTAAAGCCGCAACAGTACTAGAAAAATATCCCAAAGTAATCGACCTCTCAAAACTACCTGACAATATTTTGGAAAAGTTAAAAAGACAATATTATTATTATAATCTAAAATATGTCAATAACGGGCAAGCGTACCAGATAAAAATACGACAAACAAATGAACTCCAAGTTACACTCGTAACAATTAAATTCTTAATGACTGAATATAAGGATCTTACCCTTATTTAGAAAAACCGGTAATACCAATCCGACCACCTCAAACTTAACCTTAGCCGCCTTGAGATTCCGTCACAAGCAGTTGATGTGGCTTACCAATTCCTAATGCGTACGTACGTACATACGTACGAACGAACGCATGTATGTACGTACAGTACCATCTGATAACAACGTACTGTAGTACGCTGTACGTACGTATATCGCAAACTATTCTAAAAAAGGTATAATATGAAAGGGTAAGCTAATAAAGGATATGTGCAACAATGTGATCGAGATACTTGCAATAAAAAACGATAAATCTTGCGCACCTGTAGCATTATTTCTATTACATATTTAAAAAAAGGATGTACAATTGTTTACTTAATTTCCTAAAAAATAAAATATTTATCACGATCGCTAAAACAATTTACCAATGATACAACTTAGCAGACAAATATGCATAATAGATTAAAAGAAAATCAGTAAATTTCATATTCCTTACACAACGAATATTGAAAATAAGATCTAAAAATAATCAATTGGATTAGATGACCTGCAAAGTTTATGTTCATAAATCTCAATTTCTAGAATTGGATCTTGCATTTAAGGAGTCTCGCCATATAAACAATTTATCCTTTCTAAGTCCATTTTTATAGGATATTTCCACTCATGAAACCTATTATTATTAGAAGTGATCCAAACATTAACATGTCAATTTGACTACGAATGTAACAGGCTCTATGCAAGTATTCAAAAATGAGCATTTAATGTAACTTTACAAAATATTTTAAAAAGAAACATTAACAATTTGCTGTTAAAGAAATTTATATAGTATTTACAATTAAGGAACATTAATAGAATAATACCAGGAATCCAGAGATATCATTGGTGGAGAAAAACACCTTATATATTATTTTCGATGATACTGTATGCAGCAACCGTGACACTGTTCTGTTGAGTAATTTGTTGAAGTAAATTAGTTATTAAGCTTATTTTAATTAATTTCAATACTATTTTTATTATCACTATGTCTTACCATAAACATTTATACAAAGATAAAAGTTTTTTGTGAAATGAAAGTCCAAAACAGTAAACAAATTTATGAATTACAAATTCGATTTTTTAGACAACTACTTTTTCCGTAATATATTGCATCGTAACACAATATCGAAATTTAAATTAGGTGATCTCAATAATTATCGAATATTAATTTTCGATTTTTATAACTACAACATCAAGCTATGTCGACTACGAATTTTAAAGATATATTCTCTCTATTAATCATAATTTTTATTTTATCGCAAAATTTTCTCTATGGCCATTCATTTAAACCTGAGCCACGTGGAGGTCACATGGCAACTCTGGTGAAAGATAAAATTTATTTCATGGGTGGATCGCGGCCTATACCTAAAGATTCACCCGCATGGAATCTGACCCATCAGTATAACCTCTCAGACGAGGTGTTCTATTTAGACCTTTCGAAATCATTTACTGTTGATTTACCTCCGTTCACCGATCTTTCTGCTAACTCAAGAATGCCATTTGGCAGTGAAAAGGGAACAACAGTGTTAGGAGATAATGGTCAGCGTATATATCTTGTTGGCGGTGAGCAGCAAAATATGACAACATTTAATTACAATGCATCAGATTCTATACTTTGGATTTATAGTATAAATTCGCAAAAATGGAGTACTAGTGGACCAGGAACTCAAGGAACAATATTACCCAGGCGCCGATCCACTGCAACAGTTATAGATTCGAAGAATGTGATTTATATATTTGGTGGAAGGGTAGAATTAGATATGGGTTCAAATGTATTTACTATATTCGATGATTTTTTCACATTTGATACCAATACTTTGTTATGGACAAATCTTTCATACACTAATCATCCATCTAAACGAAGCCATTGCAGTGCAACTCTAATGCCTGATGGAACAATTATTTACATAGGAGGTGTCACTCAAACTAATCCTGGAGAAAATTCAACTCGTGTACTCATGACTGATGTGAGTATACTATTCGTAGTTATTGCATGCATTTTATACCTTACATATTGTTTAAATTTTGATATTTCAAATTTAGATAAATGTATTCGATACTATTCAGTTATCTTGGTCATTTAAGGTATTTTTATTTTTCTTATAAGTTCCTATTTCTCTAAACTTTAGTAAAAATTAATAAATAGATAAAATTATTATTTACTCTAGACTGCGAACAGCTCTAGTTCAGTAAATATTGATCCTCGTGTTGGACATACCGCTGTTCTAGGTACATTAAGATATATTATCATTTTTATATATGTAATTTCTAAATAATTATAATTTTAAATTGTTATTATTACCATTTGAAGCACCAGATAATCATACAATAGTCATATTAGGAGGAACACAAAGTTATGGCCTTGACCAGACTACGTCATATCCGGTTTTCGTATTGCTGGATGTTAGATCTTTTCAATATTCATCTTTCGATCCTTCGGGACCAGCTCCTCCACCGCTGTCATTTCATACCGCGACACGTTATCAAAACTACATGATTGTAGCATTTGGTAATAATTTTATCCTCATTTCAATAATAATTACTACACAAGTATATGTGGCTACTATATTTTTTTGGCGTACATTTCATAGGAAAACGCATTTCAAAAAATGATAATAGCGAAAATAACTAATTCATAGATAATTTTGTCAAAATTATGGGATATTATTACCAAAATTAATCTCTGATTTCTTTTATTTAGAAAAGTTAGCAAGATTACTTTTATGCAACTTTTTTTTTAAATCAGATATTATTAATTTTTTGTAATGACGTCCTTTATAGTTCTAATCAATTTTATCTATGAATATTTTTTTTCTCTTAATATGGGTGAATTTCTTTTTATAAAATAATACAAAATTAAATAGAAATTTTTATCAAATAATAGATAAGTCTTCCTACCGTATTGTCGCGAAATAACGCGCAGGGGTGAAATTACAAATTTCGGCCCAAATTAAGCTTAATTCGGGCCAAACCTCTAGTTAACGCCCATGTCCGTTATTTCGCGACAACACGGTATGAGATGCGTCTAAAAACCATTTAACCAACTTTTATTGACACTTAAATTCATCCTTAACGAACTTTTTTTTAAAATATATATACCATATATACATAGGTAACATCACCAATGATTTTGGACCTTCAACTAATGCATCTTCTGATATATTTTTAATGGATCTTTCGAATTATACATGGATAACGCAATTTAAGAATAATACCTCTGCTCCCACCCCTGCATCTAATGCAACTGATAGTACTAAATTGGTCGCTATTATTTGCCCTATTGTTGGTCTTATAATTCTAGCTATTGTCATAATAGTATATTTAAAATGGTGCAAGCCCAAATTTATTAACAAAAAAGGACAACAATACAGACCCAGAAATACAGAAGAAATAATACTACCAGAATAACAATAACGGGAAAATGTTGATAGAAACTGGATTTGTCTTAGTGGGTAATTATTTTATATTTAAGCCAAAAAAAAAATACGTGTTTTTATATCTACCTACCTTAACATAAAAAAAATAATGAATTAACATTAGTAATATTTAATTAAAAACAGAAAATGCATCAAAAATGACTTTTTTGATTACGCATAGTGAGAACGATCATAAAAGCCACTGCAATGCATAATTTAGTTCTAATGATAAACATTAAGTACACTATTATAGTCACATATTTGAACCAAATTTCTAATTATTCAATAAATTTATTAAAAAAAATTTGGATGAAATAATAATATCCATAAAATATAGTACAATATTATAAAAATTACAAATATCACTATGCTTTGTACAGTACATTAAAATTTTATACATTAATTTATGTAACTTGCGCTTACTGTAAATAATTTTAATTTTATAATTACAGATTTCATATTAGAGATTTTAATGCTAAGATACTATCTGAATCAATATTCAATGATTTAACTAACTTTTTAAAAGATGATTTATACCCCTTAGTTCCAAGTGGAAATATTGAGTTAGACTCTATTAATAATTTGTTTATATCTGCAAATGATTGCTTATACTTTTTTAAAATACAGCAAACATGAATTCGACGTTTGAGCGCACTCTCATTATTTGGATCAATGTCTAATAATTTATTTAAATCTGCAAGTGATTCTTTATAGCAATTTAGCATGCAATATGTCTGTTCTCGATAACTTAGCGTGGTTATGTTATCTGGTTCAAGTTCAATCGATTTATTTAAATCGACAAGAGATTCTTTATAGTGTTCAAACATATAGTGCGTTTTTCCTCGAGCTCTTAGTGCAAATGAGTTTTTTGGCTCTATGATTAATGAGTTTGTTAAATCTTCAAGTGATTCGAGATATTTTCCCGAATAAGAATATACAAGACCTCGACATCTTAATGATTCTACGTTATTTGGGTCAATTACTAATGCCCTATTTAAATCTTTAAGCGAATTTTTGTAGTCCTTAAGCGCATAATAAGCTTGTCCTCTAGTTTTCAACGCATCAACGTTTTCTGGTTCGATTTCTAATAAATTCGTTAAATATTCTATCGATTCTTTATATTTTTTCAATTTATAATAAGATTGTCCCAGAACATACAATGCAACAGTGTTGTTTTTTGCATTAATTTTTAACGAATTTGTCGAATCTTTAAGGGACTCTTCATGTTTATTTAACCTAAAATACGTTTGTGCTCGATATCCTAATATTACTGAATCAATAGGATTAATGTTTAATAATTTAGAAAAGTCTGTAAGAGATTCCTCATAACGTTTTAACATATAATATGTTTGTCCTCGAGATTTTATTGCAACAATATTGTTCTGATCAATTTTTAATGAATTGTTTAAATCAACAAGAGATTCTTCATGACGCCCTAACATATAACATGTTTTTCCTCGGATTCTTAGTGCAAACGCGTTGTCTTTCTCGAATTTTAATGACGTCGTTAAGTCTTGAAAAGCTTCGTCGTAATGTCCCAAATAATAATATACTAAACCTCGAGATCTTAATATAAATGCATTACATCTATCTAAATTTAATGCTTTTGTCAAATCATCAAGAGAATCTTTATATTTTTCAAGCGCACAATATGTAAGTCCTCGAGCTCTTAATGCGTCAAAATGGTCTGGACTAATTTTTAAAGAACTTGTTAAACTTTTAATGGATTCATTATACATTTTTAGTTCATAATAAATTTGTCCCATAACGCTCAAAGTAACTGCATTACCAGAGTCAATTTCTGATAACTTTGTTAAATTATCAAGAGATTCTCTATATCTTTTCAATTTAAAACAAGAGTAACCTAATTGTCTAAGTGACTCCGTGTTATTAGGATCAAGCTTCAATGATTTAATTAAATCTTCATAAGACTCAACATAACGTTCTAAAACGTAAAATATTTGTCCTCGAAATCTCAGCGCTACTGCATTATCTGCATTAATTTTTAATGATTTATTTAAGTCAGCAAGAGATTCTTCATATTGATTTAGCATGTAGTATGTTTGTCCTCGAAAACTTAGTGCAATTGCATTATCTGGCACAAGTTCTATCGATTTATTTAAATCTTTAAGAGCTTCAATGTAGCGTTCTAACATATAGTATGTTTGTGCTCGGGATCTTAGCGCAAATGAATTATTTTTCTCTATCCTTAATGATTCTGTGAAATCTTTGAGTGATTCTTCATAGTTTTCTAAATAATAGAAGACTAGTCCACGACACCTTAAGGACTGTGCATTATTTGGGTCAATCTTTAATGCTTTATTTAAGTCTTTTAATGAGTTTTTATAGTCTCTTAGCATATAATAAGCTTGCCCTCGAGTTTTTAGTGCTTCGACATTTTCTGGTACAATGCCTAATAATCTTGTTAAATTTTCTATCGATTCTCTGTATCTATTCAATTTGTAATAAGATTGCCCTCGGACCAGGAGGGCAATTATATTTCTTGAATCAATTTTTAATAAATTGGACGAATCTTCAAGGGATTTGTTAAATTCTCCTGACTTAAAATGAATTTGTCCTCGATAACTTAATGTAATTTCATTATTCGGATCAATTTCTAGTGATTTATTTAAATCTGCCAGTGATTCTTCGAAATGACTTAACATGTTGTATGTGTGACTCCGAGATCTTAGAGTGATCGCATTATTAGAATCAAGCTTTAACGATTCATTTAAATCAGAAAGAGATTCTTCATAATGCCCTAACATACAAAGCGTTTCTCCTCGAGACCTTAGTGTATCAGGGTTATTTGAATCATTTTCTAATGATTTATTTAGATCCGTAAGTGATTCTTCATAACGCTCTAGCATGTACAATGTTTGTCCTCGAGATCTTAGCGCGGCAGAATTATCTGGTTCTATTTTTAATGCTTCATTTAAGTCTACAAGTGATTTTTCATAGCAGCCTAATATATAGTATATTTGTCCTCGAGATATTAACGAAGCTAAATCATTATTTATAATATTTAAGAATTTAGTTAAATCATCAAGCGAATTTTCGTACTTTTCTTGTTTAAAGTACGTCAAGCCTCTGAATTTCAACGCATCTGCATCATCTGGAGTGATCCTTAATGATTTGCTTAACAAATCTAAAGATCTTTCATAGTTATTCGCTTCATAAAAAACTAATCCTTGAGCTTTATAATCTCTTGCATCGTCTAACCTTTGAGAAGAATTTGATCGACTCAAAATTTTCCTAAGACTTCTTGAACTAGGTTCTCTAAATATCTGTGCAGATGGTCCAACAGATAACAAAGTAGGTGAACCGTTCCTGGTTAAAATAGGTACCAGTCGTCGATTACGATTTGTAATAAACACTTCAGTAACTGTTTCTTCTAATATCTTATCTAGAGTCATCAAAATTTCTTTTGTTGTTGGACGTTTCTGCGGATCAATATCC